TCAAATGTCAAACAGAAAATTTTAATGCGATTTCTATCTAGACAACAATGCACGAAGTTTATAGTACATGGACGAGTAAATTACTAACAACTGCTTTCCAGGAACCGCTTCGTAATAAAATACCTATATCCTGAAATTAACTTTCAGCTATTTAATCCAATTACCTATAAGGTTGTTGTAACATAATCATAATCCGGGACGTGTCTGCGGCATTGTCAGGAAGTTTTGTATTTCGTGAAGTATAAAGGGAAACTTCCTTATATTAAAACAGTTTCACATGGCAAGTATGTAATTTACCAACAATATGTTTGTAAATTAAGTAAGACGGAGTAAGTAGTGCGCAAGGTCAGCCGCTTCCTACGAGGACTGAACTTAGGAACGCATGTAGGCTGTGTGTTGTGCCCTGGCACCTGCAGGCGAGTGTCTAATGCTAATTGGAGAACTCGAGCTAAGAATACACCTGTCCTAGTACGGCTTGCGTAACTTCACAAGGATAGTCGTACTAATGGCAAAATAAAGAGCTCATAAAATATTTTGTAGACTTGAATAGCAACAACCTTCATCCAATTACGAGATCAACTTCCAGTGAAGGTCTGTCCATAAAACTAATGAAGTGTCGAATGTGGCGTCTAAATTGTGAAATTTGAACGTTTCGTGGTTCGGGTCTAGTTTGACAAGTACCAGTGGCAATAGAGGAACCAGTGCTGCACTCAGTATGGACACATTGCCGCGAAAGCGGTTCTTGCTCCCAGCACGGCGCATTCCACGTAACCAAATGATCATTAGTGCAAAAACAAGAGGTGGTTGCCACATAACCTATCTCAACATTCTCGACCGAGTGCAGACAATATCGATATAATCGCAATCGTGAAATACCAGGTTAGTCGGTTATAGGTATTCCATGGCGGACTGGGCAGGGCCGGGAACACGGTAACTTGGTCAAACTGACAGATTCCATTATGCTTGAACTATAATTTTGATATCTGAGAACTAACATTTACGAGATAACGTTGAACTTATGCAACGCATGCTATTCAGGCTGTTCTGCAAATCCAGTTAGTTTCATAATACATACAGGTCCTTTATTTAGTAAATGAACATTTCTATAGCTGCAGATTTTTAATACCTTTGCTCTTAATCCTGGAATGCTAGCATTAACTTTGAAATTTTCTGAGAAATACTTTTTGTTGATGACAAGGACATTGTGTATTCTATACTAAATCTAAACTTCTAAATCAAGTAGTCTTGGTTCGCAATGCCGCATTGTATGGGTTCGATTCTCGATTCAAACAAAATAGAGAGTCATTTCATTATACCGATATCGGTGACATTTGTCACGGTGTTACAATTTTGTTATGATGGCCAGTGGGTAGCTTTTGGGGCGGATTTTGGTACATAATGTTCAAGTAGGTAATTGTTTTTCTGTTTCATGTTTTATTGTTACATAATGGTCAATTAATAAGAACTTTATTTCCTATACCCACATAATATTTTAACTTAGAAGCTATTACCTAGTAGGTACGCAGGTCTGAACTCATAGTCAATATCCTTCGTCAAAGGTCGCAAGTAGGTAGAAACGTACCTACTTAGTTACTATAATGGATTAAGTATTAATTAGGTGCTCGGATGGTACTCACACCAGTAAGTACTTAGGTTGGTACCTACCTACGAACCTTTATCTACTGCGGATTAACAAGTCTTGTATGAGTAATTCAGTGGGTAAACAAACTCGATGTAACCAATAAAAACAGTAGAAACCCCGCGTAAAGTACCCGCAGTAAGAATTGATGTGTAGACTGACCTGTCCAGTAGCTTTCTTATAGCGGTGCGTGGCCTCCCGCACGAGGTCTCTGACCAGCAGGTCGCCAGCGCCACACGGGACCAGCACCCGTACTGACCCGAAACACACTGTCACCTTCATGTTACCACCACACGGCACTATGAATCACCAAAACACAACGCCACTCCGTCGCAATATCCACTAGCTAGCATATTAGTTTGTCGTCAAACTAACAGGAGCACAACATTATCTGATGCACATGGCACAGGTAACTTTACGTCGAAGCCGCTCACGAAGCACTCGCGATACAAAAAGAACAACAACACCAGGTCGTGCTTGTGTTTTCATAGCGCAGTCGGAACGTCTCGCTGCACACCCCGAGTGCTCCGCCGTGCACTTAATCTAATGTTAAATTGACACATCAAAACACTAGATTCACGTTGAACATCGAGCACATATCGATAAGATTACGCGAAGTACGGGCGCATAGTGCGCGCGCTCTCAACGGCAGCAACGGTCGTGGCAAGGCACATGAATAAGAATTTGAAGTTGTTTGTAGCGGCGGAGCGGGGCAGGGCGGCGGGACGCGGCGACCGGTTCCCGCGCGCAGCCAATCGGCGGCGACGCGCGGCCCGCAGCTGTGCGCTTGTGGTGGTGGCCCGCCGAGCGCCGCGTCATACCTGCCTCGCTCCGGTTTGTATTTCACTCACATACCGACTATTACACATTATTTTGAATGAAACTGTCCCTGATTACTACTTCAGTGAGTCATTAGTTGCGAGAACTCACGATAACTTTAAAACTGGTAGCGCTCAGGCGTCATACTTAAGCGAGCTGCCTACTTGTTTCTTTACAACTTACTACTCTGCCGTTGGTATTTGCTGTGGACAGTGTAGTCACAGCACTCACACATACGCAATTTAATCACAGTACAAATGTTGGTATCAAAGTAGTCATAACTTGGAGTTGATGTCATGCAATCCACAAGACCCAAGTACCCACCTTATAGCACATAACGAAGTATTTTAAAAAGTTACTGCCTGGTGAAACACCTTCGTGTAATCAATATCACCATGTCAACCCCTATACAGATAACATGCATCTACCTACACCGCAAACAAATTGTGTAACGAGGTAGGATCGCTTTTTGTTCTTGTATAAAACCACGATTAACAATAAAACAGAATGTAAAATATTATAATATAAAGTTATCGCTATTCTGAACACAAATAGAAACATAATGTTATACAGAGTCGTTTGTGCTTTGCATTGGAATGCAGTTCAATCAATGCATCCGCACAATAAAGCATTGTCTTGTTGATACCTAGTTATTTCTAACAATACTAAGCAATACCTAGGACAAACTTATAGAAATTAATCAAAAGAAATAATTACTTAGACTAAGTTATATAAAATCTCTTTAGATAATAGTGTCTAGAACTCGAGTATCTATAATTTCAAAGTACAGATAATTTAAAAAAAATACCACGTTTTGTAACTATATCCGTTGATGGTTCTCGCGTGGTACAGTTCAAGGCGAAGGGCGTTAGTATGCGGAACACGCCAGTCGTAACCGACACACCTGTACCTGACCCGTAAACCTATGCGACGATGTGACTATATGACATAACATAAGTATTCAACACCAAACTAGACAATTTATACCCATTTTCCACGAAAAACTCCTATTTTATATGACTTTTAATTTGATTTGTTTCAATGTGACACGGTATGACCTTTTTAGAACATAAATGTGTCAACTATAAAAAGAAAAGCTAAAAGAAAAAGGATTGCACTTGCAACGAATATTATAATTAAAATTTAAATGTCTAAACGATAAGGACTTTCGAAAACTTCACTTTTGAAGAGTTAAATTTAATAAAAAAGACATAAAATCTCTTTATAAATAGGTGAAACAAACAGGAAAAAAATATCCAGTACTCAAAATTTTGTTTTAGTAACTTACTTATCCTCACCGAGGCTTGGATATTATATACATACTACATGCTTAAAGATATCTAATTTGGTAATATTTCCACCTATTCTGGCAAACTTAGGGGTAGCAGAGCACAGATAGGGCCCAACAGGGTCGATGTTCAGCCGGTGTTGTGGGACAAGCGTAATACCTAACGTTCCGCGGCCTCGGACTAAAGCAGGAGAAGGAACGGTATGGTTTCTAGTCAGTAAGAGCCTGACACCCCCCTAAAGGGCGAGAGAAATCATTTGATAACTTCTCCACTCAAACAAAAAAGGGGGTAGCAACTGGCTCATCTCCAATTTTCATGGGAATTGTAACTGGTGCGAATTAGCACTACTTTTTTGAGTCGTAGTGACCCGGTTAAGGCGTCTGCTTCTCATGCGAGGGTGTGGGTTCGAAATCAGTACCAATGATACTTTTTCCGATTTATATGTTCTATCTATTCTATGATTATTTTTAGACACCATTTCCATAGGTGAAGAAAACATAGTGAGGAAACCTGGACTTAAAAAGTCTAATTATAGCCGCCTTGAGCAAGCGCGGTAATTTATACTTAAACCTTCTCCGTTATACAGTGGGCACTTACAGGCTGATGATGTACTAAATATGTAAGAACAATTAATTGGCGTTATGGACTATGTGTACTTTAGCGCACACACCTAGTTTAACGGTAGAAATCCAAACTTAAGTTTAGCAATCATGTTAATGATTAACTAAATTACTCATAAACCAAGTTTACTCATCCACTGAGTACTTAATTCTACATCCTTGTTTTCGGATTAACTATTGTTCTTTTGTAGCTGTGAATCATTTTGATTCATAATATGGTACTAATATCTACACCATGATTCGTTTTTTAATACACCAAACCACTGAGTTTGGTGTATTAAAAAACGAATCAAGATCAAAATGGTTTCCTTCACCGTTTGTCACTGACAAACGGTGAAGGAAACCATTTTGAGAAAAGTGGAACTTAAAATTTCTAATTATGATTTTGAAATCATTAATCCGTTTTGAGTTAGCTAGGTGGCTAATGCTTATTGCTTCTTCTTGAGGGAAGCTGGAAACCATATGCCACTATAAAGATTTTGCTAATAATTAAAGATATAATATTTTTTTTAGATCAAGAATAGAGCTTTGATGCAAAGAAACGTTACATTCCAACCAGACAACACAATCTAAATAAGGTGATGAATAATTATTGTAGTGTGCACAAGGATATGGAAAAATAAACAACATCTGTTGATGTAAACCACTTTTAATTTGTAATAAGTAATTAATATTGCTTAGGTAATTGAATTTAAATAAATAAAATACACAATACACTTGCTACATAAGGCGCAATTTAAGTACCCTACACAAATGAGACTGATAATGTAATTTCTATGAGAGAATAATATGCAGGCAGGTCTCCGAGCTGGTATTCACATTAAAGCCAAAATAGGAATTATTTTGTGCTCATAAAGTCATGGTGGTGCCACATACACAATTTTCTTTGTAAACAGCATTAATGTGAATAACTCAGCAAATTCCAAAACGTTTTTGTATTCGTATTCTAATTTTTATCAATTACAATGTCACTGTTCGATACATTGAATTACTACACATAATAAAAAATGCAGCAATTCATTAATGAGTATATCCAAAAAACATTCAAAATATTTGTTCCTACTCGCCTACCAAGGTATTACTATAAGTCAGATCTATTTTGTCAAATTTTGTCTGCATTTATATCGAGAAATATAAAAACAACATTATACAAGTGTCAAACAAATAATCCATACTGTATAAGCATACACATAAAAATATTTTGGCACTATGTGTACATGTCCATACATCAACATGAAAAAACATTAAATATAAATACTGAGAATAAAAATAGCAAATAAGAGAATTCCTTCAAAAAATAATATATTTTCACAGCGTGGTATACTTAGGTATAGGTATGTAGAATAGCACTTGACAGGTGATTAACAATATTTACAAAGATTAACAATCTGTAGATCTCACTGACGCACTTTACCGTGCTCCTCTATTTACAATTCTCAGACATTAACATCTCTCAACCAGTTAAAGCAGCCCAAAATGATACTTCAATATTGTGATGTTAATAATAATACTAGAAGCACGAGCTAATCTAATCGGGAACAAATTTTATTATAAACTAAAATATTTATACAAAAATCATAATCAAATTGCCCCAAAAATTCGTACCAAAACTTAGTGGATCGGCTTCCAAATTAAGTACAATGTTAAATCAAATATTGTAGCAACTGCGATGCGAAATGTACTAGCATATGTACTCACAAACAGATCATGTACCTCAAATATGAAATATATAATCAAATAACTATCTAAAACAATACAATTACATCAAATTGACACAAACTTATATTAGATTTAAATAATACAAAATAATTGATATTTATTTAATACAGAGAATATTCTACAACAAATATTCGCTAGTGGTGTTTATATATTGGTTGTACTCTCAAGTGTCACGGCTGATTTCTTAAGAACTACATGATATTACTTCTTGTTATCGAGCTCAAGTTATTAAAGTACTCAAGAAACAAAGACTGATAATGGCACTATTTTTAATAAAGAAACGAGCAAACTTTAGATGACATTACGTGACTAGATTTCTGAAAGAAAATGCCAAAAGGGATTTTTTATAACAATGGTTTGGAAAATAGAACTTTATGTACTGGTATGTTAGATAGAATTCAATACAATATGAGATACATAAGGCAGATAAATGAAGACTACAAAGCATAATTATCCAGCTGTGGTAACAATGTTTACTCTATAGATAGTTTGAAATGCATTAATCTTACGTACTTACGTATAGTTAGTTGACACCACTTCACTAAGTCCCCGCCTCACAAAACAAAGAGACGGAGTAGAGTTCACAGGACAGGGACCAGCCCTTACTCTAGAACACTGACATTAACAGAGATTGGTCGCTCAAATTCGAATTCCTATACCGTTATCACAAGACAAACCATAAATAATTCTAAGTCAGAGCACCTTATAATTGTAGAGATCATCGCATTCTCCTACAGATGATGCATCACGCCATCACATGGCACATTCAGCTGTACATGAATATCATACAGTGTAACATTAATAGGTACATATTGACACAATTTACATAGTACAAAATCATCAGAGTACAGGCACGTCAGCAATTATGATAAAACAATTATGTAATTAACTATACGCTCCTTCTCTACGAGCAACACTTCTTACGGAAACAATAGCGGGGAACAAAAACGTTTTGAGTATTTATTTATTTGCAATAGAGAGCCAAACTGTTCCTCCGTTAAGTGTCCCAAATCAAACACGTCGAAGTCTCTGTCATGACAGTTCAATAATTTGAGATTTTCGTTATCACAATTGACCAAAAGGCAGTACACAAGAGAACAGTCGAAATGTACACGAAACACAGTCGATTAAACAAAATCGGACGTTATCACAACTCGCGACATATCACAGTATCACTACACGTCACTCTCGCCGTCGGTGACGTGCGCGGGCTGTCCAAAGTTCCTCGTGATAGACTCGCTGACGGTGCGAATGTTCGCGAGGTAGCGGTGCGCCGGCTCGTCCGAGTCGTAGATGGCACTGAGCGACTCCAGCGACACCAGCGCCTCGGAGTCCAGCAGGCGGGAGGAGGCGCGGGACGACACGTCGTCGTCGCGGTCGAAGTAGCACGAGTTGACGTCGCTGAGCGCCGCCTCCGCGTCCGTCAGCCCGGCCTCGTTCAGCATGGACACGTTCTCCAGCGCGGGGTCGTCCGTCGTGTACCCCGTACTCTCGGGCTGCCCGCCCTCCCCGTCGCCTTCGCCCTCCGAGCACGATGAGCTCCATTCCGATTGACTCTCCCCGTATATACCCATTTCTCTATGATGAGAAGCGGCCACCTAGAAGATATAATGAAGTAATCGTATCAAGTTGTTAGAGAAGAAGAAGTTTCATGGTATCTCACAAGCAACTTACTCGGTGGTGCAGTCTTTCTTGGGCTTCTTTTTCTCTTTCCTTTTCTCGAATAGAAATGGGATCAGGTTTCCTTTCGCATGGTGGGCTGCAAGGTAATCAACATTTGAATGAAACCATTCAATAACAAACAAATTGTAGAACAATATTCTGGAGTAATTTTCCATTAGTGCAGTACCTGGGCCGGTTTCGCTCATGGTTGGGCGAGGGCAGCTCGACGACGACGTCGGTGGGCAGTACCCCGGGGAAGTCCTGCGGGCGCGCGGGGCTGCTGGCCTCGTTGCGCACGACCTGCGTGATGGCGGCCAGCCCCACCGCGTGCAGCGGGCTACTGTTGTTGTTGTTGTTGCAGTTACGCATCGGCTCCAGGGACGGGTTCGCACCCCTGTAATTAAACACATGGAAATCAACCTTTGTCATGGAAGCCATTCTTTATGTGCTACAAGTGTTGGAGACGGTTCTACACATAGGCGACAAAAAAGTAAGTAACTAAAAAAGTCTCACCTTAATTCCAATTTCAGTTCTTTCCGTTCTGATTTGGGCGGGTTAATTTTGATAAGATTCTTATCATCGAGCAGTCGTTGAATCTCCCGTTCGAAGGGCGGCACGCACGCCACGTCTGATGGACTTCGCTTCGCAAATGGTTCTCGGCCATCATGATTCAGATGTTTCAAGTTCGTCGGTCGGCTACCTGAACTTGAAAATGAATCAGCTCGTTGCCCCAGCCTAGGGACTACATCTTTCTTATCAGTTTGGCAGCAGCCATCACGCTTTGCAGACGCTTGGATCATGTTAATGATGCTTCTCTGCAACTTTTCTTCTTCTTTTTGGAAGTCAACACTTCCATCGAGGAACTTATCTTCGAGCGACGGTTTCCTGGTTATTTTATGTTTAGCGTATATATCGTTGATGTGGTTGACGGTGGGCTTGCTGGGGCGCACGGGGGGATAGTCGTACGCGGGGCTGGGGTCGGCGCGCTGCGGCCTAGTCGGCGGGATCCACTGCGAGGGTCGCGGGGGAGAGGGCGAGGCGTCGGTGGTGCGCGAGTAGCTCTCGTCGGAGGAGCTGAGGCTGGGCGAGCGAGTGAGGGAGCTGAGCTCGTCGGCGGAGGAGTGCACGCGCGGGCTGCGCGCCAGCGGCAGACTGTCGCTGGAGCGCGGGCGCGGCAGGCGGGGCGGCGCGCGCCGCTTGTGGCCCGCCGGCCGCGCCTCCGCCGGCCGCGGCCACGGCGCCACCAGCGCGCGCGGCGGCGGCCAGCGCGGGCCCGCGCAGCCGTGCGGCGGCGGCGCCGGCGGACTCTCGCCGCTCTCCTTGCTCCTGCGACCCTTGCTGCCCTTATTGTTGCCGTTGCTCTGATGCCCGTTAGAAGGTAGGAGCGGTTCGTTCTCCCCGGCTACTGACGATTCCCTCAGAGGGGGCAATCTTGACGGTTGTGCGGCTGCTCTCCTTGCGGAGTTCTGTAGCATGGCAAGCGGAGTGGCCACCCCGCCATATGCGGTGGGAGGGTTGTTCATGGGACCATTCGACGTACTCTGCACGGTGCCGTTAGCTGGTGCTCTGTCTGTGAGGAAGTAAGTGGTCATTTCTCCCTTGCCCTTTACTTTGACCTTGCCCCTGCACACAAACTGGTAAGGCATGTCCTTCAGTACTTGGTAGACCTCCTCAGTAACTTGCGTGTGATTGGGCAGACCGGTAGAGTCCATACGAGAGGCTACATTGACTGTATTACCCCAAATATCGTATTGCGGTTTCCGTGCACCTATTACACCAGCCACGACGGGACCAACGTTTATACCTGAAAAGAGAAAATGTTTAATTAAATCTCTGTCATTATTTTATTTTTGACTTTATTCTGATAGCGATGAGTCTACTTTACAATAACTCACCGACTCGCAGCATGAAGTTGTTGTATGAGTTGTCGTTGATGTCCTTCAGTTTGTCCCTCATGGCGAACACGAACTCGACGAGCGTGGCCATGTGCTTGCGTGTGCTCGGCTCGTCCGTCATCTTCCGGTCGGGGATTAAACCGACAGCTGCCATATACGTCGACCCTACTGTCTTGATCTTGTCTATCGCACCGAAACGATCTTCACCCAAAAGCTGTAATTTTAATGTTTTTGTTTTTATTCAATTCCAAATAAAAAAATTGTACACACAATGGCGTTGTTGGCCTAAATACAGTAGACTCTAAAAACGACAAAACTCTACCTTAACAATATTGGTGAAAATAATGAACTGAAATTTCGATTAAAACAGACAAAATGAAATAGTATGAAGGTTTTATATAATGTATAAAAATAAGTAGAAAAAAAATAGTACATAATATATTTACCTCATCAAAATCAGCAATGATTTCGTTGAGGAGCCGCAGACACTCCATGCCCTGGTTGTTCCCGTCGAGCTCCATGTAGAACTCGTGGTAGTTGGTGATGGAGGCAAACACTACGCCGACGCGCTGGTACGACTGGTGGTACAGGTCCTGCGCACCGCGCCTCTAGTCAGCCACGCAGCCCAGTGACAACCACACGCGAATTTATCATCTATTCCCATTTAGCTACGATCTACTATTCATTACAGTGGATTTATACATTTTTTTAATTTGAATTTAGGATATAATATCCATCTATATAGCTACAGTCTACTGTTAATTTACATGGAATATTACAGGTTTGTAATTTAATTTCTATTTTCTTTTAACTACGGTCCATTATTTATTGACATCGGTGTATCTCTCTGATTTGAAACTAAACCACACATCAATTTGAAAACTATCTACTTGTAGCTAAGGTTTATTATTAAATAACCAGAGGGTGATGGTTTGTGTTTTTCTCTGTTATTATTATTAAATCGTGAATGATACTAGTATAAAAGTAATATGTTAGTGGGAAATACACTTGGAGTCAATTTTGTATGACTGTGCCTACCCCATTGGAAATAGTGTGAAGTTGTCACTAGACCTCATACGTGCTATGCGTTATACGTAAGTCATGTGATACGAATGAACACGGCACAGAAACAAAATAAACATTATTTGAATTAATTAAAGTTCGTATATGTATGTGATTAGTGCATAAGTTTGCGTGGCGTGGCGTGATAAGTGAAAGTAATGCACGCATTTTTTCGCCTCAAAACGTCACGATATAAAGTACAATATCTCACAGAAATGATAAGAAACTCACAATTTCCTGGTCATTTCTGTGGTAAAGGAGACCGGGGCTAGTTATCTCAAAGGACATTTGTGACAATCAACAAAAAAGTATCACTTACACATAACTAATAATTCAATGCCGAATCTTGATTTTCAATTAGTGTTTGTTTTTTTTTTAGTTTTTTTTTTAATCTCTTACCCAAAGATAACAATCTCCGGTCTTCCTTACAGTTAATTTTCAACTCTATCAGTTTAAAATAGAGTGCTATGTTATTACGTGTATTTTAGAATACTTTATGTTATGTTTTTTTAGTTCTGTATACCTTTTATATTGGTAAATTCATGCTTTTAAAACTTTTTAATAAATAATTGTAATACTTACCATATTCGTTCTAAACTGATTGTCCAGGAAATGTGTTGCCACGTGCGCTGGGAGCAAGTTGAAGAGAATTCTTCTGTTCGATGCCTGAAATTAAATAGCATTCTTTATGTAAATAAAACAAATAAACATAGATAATAGAAAATGCGACGTACCTGTCGAAAATAAAAAGATGTTATTTCATAAGGACTTCAATAGTTCATACTTTAAGCTCTTAGGGTGAGTCACCTAATCTTAAGTAGCTTATTATAACTTAAAGTAAGTAGACTCGAGGATTTATTAATAACCAGCTAATCCATGTTTCAAGCAAATAAAATGATTATATGCTTTCCTCGATAAATAAAGAAAACAATGTTCAACTCGAACCAGCAATTCTGGATATTAGCGCGTTCAAACTAACTTTGCAGCTTTATAATATAAGCTGACCTGTAAGGCATCCATGTCTCTCTTCTCGTCCCGGGCTTGTGCCTGCCAGAGGAAGTCTAACCGGGCCGTCCATTCAGTCTGCCGAGCGTGTAGTAAAACCGCTAGAGCCAGTGCCACGGTCCATGCACTGGCTACGTAAGCAGAACCCACCAAGCCTGAACTGAAATGTATAAGAAGGAAATTAGTTTATTTGATAGTGTGGGAGAGAAAAGTAACGAAAACACTAATGTGAAAAAGTGAAGTTATACTATGTGGTAAAGTGAAGTTACCGGAGGCCCAATAAAGGATTGGGCCTCCGGTAACTTCACACACACGGTGAAACAACGCTGTAATTGTTTCACACTAAACCTACTACCTAAAATTTCATATCCCCAAAAAGCAACGCACTCTTAACTCCTTTGGCGTTGCGGAGTGTCCACTGCTTAGCATTGGGCGGCGCCGATTGCTTACCTTTAGGTAATGCTTATTATGCTAGTTTGCCACCCAATCACATAAAAAACAAAATTGTTTACTGATAATAATTATTCTTTCTTTCGGCTATTTGAGGAGAAAGGCCTGTTTTATTGAAAAAAGACACTCAGTGACGTGCTTATAACTCGTTAAGCGCCAGGTTGGTTGCCGGTGACCCATGTTGATCTTCAATAGATTTTCGTTGACAGCCAAAGACTTACCTAAAAGCTATAAAAGTTTATGTCCAGCATTTGACGAGAACCGGCTGTTGATGACAATCTATAGATATTTGTCAGGTTCTGTTGGATGCCGATAATAGTTAAAAGAGAGCTCCGATTTCATTGGTTTGTCAAACTAAAGTTGCAAACCTTTCATCATAAGAACTTCAATTTAGAAGAGAAATCATACAATATGCGTAGTCACTGCATAGTACAAAATAAAGTCGCTTTTTCTATCCCTATTGTCCTATGTATGTTTAAATCTTGAAAAACTATACAACGGATTTTGATTCTGTATATTTTAATAGGTAGAGTGATTGAAGAGGAAGTTTTATAGTATGTATTAATAACATGTATTAAATAGTGAAGAAATTTTGTATCAGCACTTCACCCGTGCGAAGCCGAGGTGCGTCGCTAGTTATTTATATATTATAGTTACATAGTAAGCATGTTATAACACTCAAGCTGCGACGAAGGTATCGCCCCTAACTAATCCCGGTAAGATTAGACGGATCACGTTACATTAGCTGTTCGAATCCTCTTTGTTCGAAGGTTTTCTATTATTAGTCATAGCGTAACGGAAAACTAATTAGGATTTGCTTGTTCTTCATATTGACGAAGAAGGTTAATTTATAATTTTTGCAATATTCAGAGTCGTGATGACCTTAAGGCGCCCGCTTGACGTTTTCGGTGTCATCATTGACAAATTTTGATGAAAAACATCGTAAGGAACTGGAATCAGTTTTTTCTTCACGATTAGCTAACTTAAATAAGTATGAAGTATGAATTATTTGGCACGATATTAACCCTTTGACTGCCGACAGAAAACTGTTGAAGGCAAATCCTCCGTTAACGTGTTAAGCAAAATGACAAAACAATATCAAAGTACAAATGTTTCATAGAACATAATATACTTCGAAACGGTGTATGAATTTAACTTCTAAATACAATGGAACTGATAATTATTATAATAAAGAAATACTCACTCAACCATCAAATCGTAGCAGTCAAACAGCGCCTTATGGAAGCCAAGTATGACGCCCATGTATCCGGCAGTCATTACAGCTAAAAGGATCCCCTTCACCAGGATCGGGAGCCTTAGGAAGACGGCTACCACCAGCATACTGAGGCAGCAACCGAGCGTAATGTACAATGGTACTGGGCAAGCTAGATGTTCCGTCCGACTCGACCATAGTTGCGCTGCAACGTCGCCCCGCATCGTGAATACTTCGGCCATACTTGTCGTGTTGCCAGTTAAATTTCTGCATAGTTCTATATGTTCACATGTTACCTGTGAACGAGAAAGGTAACCATTTGGAATAATCTAATGATATTGAGACCTAACTAGTTTAAGTGTGTGAGAGCCATGCTTCGGCACGTATGGGGTAACTCGACCGGAGTGATACCACGGCCTCGAGCGTTGCTTCGCCGTGTGAATGAGGTTACCGGAGGCATAAACCTTCCCCATGCCTCCCCAATCCCTAAATACCCAAAAGGTCGTCAACGCACTCGTAACTCTTTTTGTTGTTGCGGGTGACTATTAGGTGACGCTGAATGCTTACCATCAGGTAATCCGTGTGCTCGTTTGCCGTCCTATCCCATATAAAAAATCAAGTTTCTTACGAAGATGAACTAGCGTTAAAATGTAGGTAAGTTTTACGTATTTACTTTGTTGTAATACCTTCAAGAAAGCGAATCAAATACAAACATCTGCTTGGGTAATCCACAAGTTGTTATTCTTGGTCGAGTTTAATGCCGAGTGGAATTTGTTTTTGTATCACAAGAGAAAATGTATTACTAGTATGTGAGAACATTTTCCTTGTACGTCACAGTGAACAGATATCAAAGAAGGCAATAAACACACACACTTACCACATTTACTTGTCCAACAGCGTAACCCAGTACAATAGTGAAGGTAGTGATAGCATTTCTCAGGGTGAAAGGTCGAGACACATCGCAGGGTATCAGCCTCAGCCTCGCCGCCAAGGTCAAGGCCAGTACTGCTGCAGACCAAGCGAAGGCCGTCACGAATAGTATGAGGAGTATATACGTCTGTGGTAGAATGGACGCTTGCAAGGCGCCAGCCGCTACTAAGGCACATAGCGCAGCGGACAGGGATCCCGCCCAACCGCCGTCTGTCGATGCTCGGTACTGTAAATATGGAATTTGAGTTTAAGATTACATTTCAGGTAAATTCAAAAGTATCTACAGGACATGTACCTACTTTTTCAGCATAGACTTTTATTAAGAGACATTATGACATACTCCGGAAGATATATACATTCTTTTCTTATTAGTCAGGCAGGAATATTGTACTCGTGACTGTGTCTGTATGTGGTAGAGTAGTGTAATAGTGTAATAAGATCACCTGAGCTTCCTTGTCGGCATCCTTGAAGCAGAGCGTGAGCAGGTGAACGTGCGTGGCCTTCTCGCGGTGCACGGAGCGCGCGTCGATGGCCTGCGCCAAGTACTTGTTCACGCGGTTCGTGGGCTGATGGTACACAGACGAGTGGCGCTTTTTCAACGGACGCTTAAACTTCTCCGTCACTTTATTCTGTGGAAACCCACATGCCACGTCAACCACATTGACAAACACATCAACTACAAGTACCTACACTACTAACCACCGATTTGTACAACGATCATAATGGAACACATCGATTAGGTACGGAAGGTAATGAAGGTACACCGAGACAAGGTACGGCCGAGGTCAGGGTACACATGAGGGCCATGCCGACTCCATGCTCACAATTTGGAATTTAGAACTGACCTTAGAATACAAAAGATCCGGAATCCAAAGCAGCATCACGTTATTAGAATAGTAATGAAATGAAGTACAGAACATAATATACAAAACGACAGATACTTTCAGATTGGCAAAAATTTTGAAGTAGACTTTACAGAGGAACTCAGGCTCCATTGAAATTGATGTGAATTTACGTTAAGACAGATCGATAGTTATTTTTAAATATAATAAAATATAATCAAGACTTAAAACTATATAATTTCGTGTTTGATTATTTCATAAGAGAAAGTTAAGTGAGAGAGTCCAAGATGACAGAGAGTCAGAGAGTAGAGGCAGTAGAAATAATCAAGCACCAAATAAATCGTGTGTAAAATACAAAGGGCGGGTGACGTCATGCAGTTAGTCGGGCGTCAGGCGTCGGGTCGCATGCCATGCTCTAGTGCTCGAGGTGACTAGTCGGGGTAGCGAGTGAAACACAGTTCGGTGCATCCGGCTTTATTATCGATCATTCTATAAAACAATCTCAAGTATACAGTTTGACAATTTCGAAGTAAGAAACGGTGAAGTGAGTGGTCTGTGTGCTCACGTCGAATTAGTCGTCCCCTTCCCGAGTGATTGAGTCACAGTGAATAGAAACAGATCGGTAACGTGTTCGCGGCGGTGCACCCACAGGTATTGCCTGTGTCAATGCGTACCTACAGCCAAGTAAAGGGAGTTATAACGTGTCACGTGTCGCCCGGTAACCGGGAAATGGTGGAAGACAATAATACACATGAACAACATTCTGTCTGCGCTTACTGTTTCAGCGGGTATTTGTTGTGGAACTAATGTCCAGGGGCGGAATATCTGAAAATAATGAGCAGACGCCTCATGTTAGTCGCTGGTGTGTTTCAGTCTTCCATGCTATTGTTTACTACTTTTTGATAAAGAATAGCAACAAAAAGGTAGAGAAGAAATATTTAAATTTATAATATATCGTGACATACCAGTGAGAGAAGGCTTAAACAGACCAGCAACTAAATGACATTCGGGAAACAATTCGGTTTGGAAGAAATATCTTTGTGCGTGGGTACTCGTGGAATAGACTGACTACCTACATATTGACGATAACTTTGCGTGTCGGGGACTAATAATTATTTTGAACTGATTACTGTGTTGGTGTGTATTTGTGTGTTGAATACAATAAATAATATATAAGTTTGGCAGAAAATGAAAATCGCAAATATAGTATGAAGCATTTTGAAACCTTCTTCAAGTTCCTCGCAAAATTATTTCTGTAAAACTTGTAAAAAAGCTTCAGTGCACACCTTATAATGTAATAAAAGCAGCAAAGATTTAGTTTGAAAACCACCACTCAAACCAAACTAACTACTAGGAAACCATTAAGCGAGGTTATCATTCGACACACACTATACGTGCGAGTCGCATCGTTATTGGCAGGATGCGGCTCGCGTATCGTATCATAAATTGAAGCGGAAAATCTCAGAACCGCAGGAGAAATAGCGATATGGTTTCATGGTATACCCCTAAGCTAAACCTAAGTGAACCATATACTATATCTTCCTTGTGATGCATGTGTACTGCGAGTGTAGCGCACGCGCGCCGCCACACGGCCGCGTACTGCAACTAGTGTCTACGCGTGTGACGGCGCGCGTGCGCGGACTACGAATGTATACGCAGTTGCAAAGTCATCTGTGCCTGATTAGTTCAAACGGTCGCGGAAATCGATGCAAAACTTCCCATTATAGTCGTAATCAAATAGCACAGGTCAAACAAAAGTGCGTAGTTGCGTATGCATAATAATATTAACATGTGCGGGGGTGTCGTCGACGGCGTGCGTGCGGAGGGCGTGGTGCTGCATGACGGCGTCGAACGTGTGCTGGTGCGGGGCGGAGGCGGGGGCGGCGGGGGCGACGGCGGCCCCGGGGGGCGCGGGGGCGCGCATGGCGTCTCTCACGTCTTCGGGGCGCAGCGCGGCCAGCCGCAGCGCCTCCGCGGAGCCCGGCTCCGCGTGCAGCGCGCGCCGCAGGTCCAGCACCTGCCGACAGCGCGCGCTAGTACTCGCGCTCTGCTCACAACCTACCAGCCAAGCTACAGCCCACTGACATCACCCAACTAGCGCTCGGCCCGAGGGACGACCGCGATACACGCAATACTAGTACTTACTACATCATACAATTACGTCACAGAAATCTTTTAATCAACGTCGCCGTCGTCCCTCGTTCTTTACAAATGCCTCAAATATGCTCTTTTACAGACATGAAGTATAAGTACTTTCAAATTTCAAAAATACATTTTAAATCGTATCCTTTATTTATAGCGGTTATATCCACCAATACAACAAGATAATATTACATCTAGAAAATGTAGAAAAATATAACAATATCAAATCAAATGAAAGAAAAGAGAACTTACCTTTGCAAGTCGAGAGTAGATCACCGATACGAGAAAATATTTCACTCGAGACAAACATTCTGAAGAGCGAGATAAAGCCGTGGACAATGAACTCGTATTGTTTAGCCATGTCCATTGAGGTGCAAAACTTTCGCCAAATAGTTGAAGTGCAAACAGTAAGATTTTTACGTTTTAAGAAACGGATAAAGATTTAGAATAGTTCCCCTTAACGAGCGTAAATGCGAAACCGGTGGCGCCCTAACTGTCTTCCTGTGTATTCACCTGCCGATATCTACGGGGCGCTAACGACTTCCGTCGCTAATTCAAGAGGAACTGTTCCGTGAAATGTTTTGTTCCGTCTCGAGTGTGACATACGTGCTGTACCTTCCTAGCCGCATTGGCCTTGAGTTCCTGAGGGGAAGCCGCCATGTTCGAGAACGGCACGTCCACGTTGAACTTGATGGAGTGGAGGAGCTGCACCACCACGTTGGAAACGTTCTTGAAGGAAAGCTTTCGACGCGACGCCGAGCCGAGGCCCACACCAGCTGATAGACACATCTGCAAATATAACACTCAACAATAAAAGTTGAAGAAAAGTAATTATAATGTCCCATTTCAGTAATATTTTAGTTATTGAAGAGGCATCTACGAGTTGGCTACGACCGCTCCTAAGCCTTCCAAAGGTCCAGGGCCCGTAGTCCCGTACCTTCCATGAGGATATCCTTAATGGAGGCGAACATACATAAAAACAATGAAAATATACAAGTACTTAATTCAACAACAACATTTTTTTCTGTAGGTACTGTAAAACATTACAATTAAAAGCCACTCCCCAATTCCCTGCTACACAATTAATTCGCAACAAATCTGATTGCAAGACTAAAAGTAAAACTAATCTCGTAAAATATTAATCAAATAAATGTTAGGTATCCCCATGGGTTTAGCGCGAAGCTTGTAGAGGATTACTTTTATGCTTTGAACCTACTTTTCTCCGTCTTGGCGGCGGTATGATGAAGTAAGTCTGCACAGAGTGGTCCCGAAGGTATGCGTTGCGACTGCCGCCGTGACCCGGCTCTACCTCGTAAGCCCCACCGAGGCATTCGAGCGTCGCCTGTGTTATGTGCACTCGTCTGAAAGGAATCGACATAACCTACAATATGTCCCATGTGGAAATATAAGGAGAAAATGTACGGCACACTTTTAGTTTGAAACGATAACTTAGTGATGATTCAAAGGATGATAAGCTTGTTGAGTCATAAGGAAGTGATGCAACCTGTTCTGCATAATCATCACGTTTGTTTGAATTGAAACTCGATAGAGGAGTGTAGCTTTTGTATTAATTTCCCTCGATGTACAAAACAAAGAAATAACTATTAGATTATCTACATATATAAAGAATGTAAAGTTACAAAACCATAGATTTAGCTGGTTCTTTTCCATAATAGAAGAAAATGACAAAGATCAAAGTACGGGCACTTTGTTTCAAAACTGCTTGTAATGGTCTGATTGATATTAATTGTTTAAGTTTGTGTGCAAGACGTGAATGTTGTTTTGTGAGAAGCACACGTATTTGAACCATAATAATTAACGATTGGCTTTGTCGACCTTTTCTTGTATAGAAGCCAGTCTATAACTTACCCCGGTTCGCCTCCAGCCTCCATATTGTTGGCGAGTGTGACGTCATTGGACCAGACGTCGTATTGCCACTTCCGCAGTCCCAGTACTCCACACAACACTCGTCCAGTGTGGATGCCCACGCGCATGTTCAGTTGGACGTCCGTTGCTTCCACCACAGATCTAAGAAGAAATAAAAGGTTGTTACTAAACTATGATTATGCCAAAAAACTATTTTGCTATTGAAACAGCACTTCTACTATCAAGTGCTAAATGCTAGAATAATTTGGCGGACCAATGCAGTCTCATTAGTCAAAAGCTCAGATATCAACCACGTTATTCGAGTTTTTTCAAAACGTCGATTCGAATTGTTGAAATATTCATAGCATCTTCCTTACTCCCTCCTCATCATTTCTTCCTTTTTCCTCCCCCTTAATCCCTAAATCTCTGTTATCCTAATCCCAAAAGGCCGGCAACGCACCCGTAACTCCTTTGGAGTTGCAGGGGTTCATTGCATACCATCAGATAATACGTCCGCTAGTGTTCCGTGTGTAGGTACATACGACGCGATAGTTTACTATTAGATGATCCGTCAGCTCGTTTGATGCTCAAAGCAGGGTTGGGACTCTTTAAAAAATTAGGTACATTCTCTCTCTACTCAGAACATTGGGAATAAAAATTTGATGTAACAATAAAAAAATAAGCAGTCAAATAATACGTCCGTACGTTTGCCATTCTCTGTAAATATGAATATTTAAAAAAAATAACAGGTATTTATAATTATACCCAGAGCTACATCACAGGCGAGCAGATTCACAAACACACCACTTGCGTCTATCATTTTATTGATATGTTCAGTGTGCGTAAGTTTCCGAAACTGTAGTCACTAAAGGATTCACAGTCAGTGAATCAGAAAACGTTAGAAACATAAAAGTCTAAGATTAATGCTACCTACAAGACTAAGAAATTAAATGTTTACATGTCGACTTATAGAAAAACTGTTCGGTATTTTCCTTACGTTACGTTTACTCAGAAAATCTTGTTTGAAACAGTCTTCGGGGTAAAACAAATTAGTTAAAGTTCGCCTAGATTAAAAAATTCCGGGACAGAGAGTCGAGCTCGTAGGAAAATTAAATGTTACTTTGATTACCTAGTACATCGTAGTGGTTACAAGATTTTGGACAGGATTTTCTAAGTTTGATGCAATTTATTCTTAAATTACTTTTAATCATAAATCAATGGTGACTTGGCACAGCGTCATTGTGAGTTTGTGTTGTAGGTAAACGAATGGTCGAAAACTTGATTCATTAGCTCTATCAATCTCCCATTAAAATAACAGGCACTAGTTAAATATGTGATTGGTACTTTACCGAAGTAGGTCACTCGCGAAAACGTATTATTTTTAGATGAATGACTACCTTATTATTTGTAGGCTAAGTTATGTTTGTTTGTAGCGTAAGGTAATTAAAGTCGCTGTTATAATATAAAATATGATGTATTCTTTTATATCACGGAGGTTGACAAAGTAATAAATTAAATGTAATTTTACGTTGGCGTACAGTTAGTACTTAGACCTTTTTTATCGATCTTATAATATAGCTTTTGGGCTTTTGGCCGGCGACTTCGTTCGCGTGGAAAAGTGACTTCCGGCAAATTTTTGGTATAAAAACTATCCTCTATCCTTTCTCGACTTTCACAGAAATCGATTTAGTAGTTTCGGCGCGAAGAAAAGACAGACAGACAGAGTTACTTTCGGATTTATAATATTAGTTTGGATTTGATTTTCAAGATAAAAAATGCATAAGCTTTGCTATTAATTGTATAACAAATACTAACTAGATCACTTTGCTAGTTAGTATGTTTAGTGGAAGATGGAAAACACCTGGACAGCTTCGTTGTGACCGGAAAAGTGGACTGTAAAGACCTCAAAGTCGCAGCTCAATACTGCACCGCACTGATCAGATTCGGTTCACTTTAAATTCTACTATCCGCAAAGCCATTCACAGCGCCAGAGACAGAATTAAAGAGAAGACCATCGTACGAGTGGAAAGTTATGCAAACTCTTCTACACTGGTATCGACTCCCAGCAACAGCACGACGCAAGAAGGATTTTGTTAAGTTCGTTTTGGATAGTTTGCAGATAACCTGACAGTACCCATCCTTAGTAATCTGCAGAAGAATAGCCACAGATAATATGTATACAATCCGCTTCTAAGAGTGATCTTATTATCAAAACATACAGATACAATATTGAACTACATGATTTTGAAATCGAAAAACTAAAAAGCTAAATCTTACTTCTTTTCTCTTTAAAAATAGTCTTTTTACCAAGTACTTACAGTATAACTTTTCCAAATATTAATTTAACAAACAACAAAAATGCTTTTTGCATAACTAATGTAATGGATGCATGAATTCTTAAATTTATAAGTGGGCAGCGTTATGAGATTAATCCATGAGGGAATTCTCGACTGGCAGGTTAACCGGCTGCCCGGCTTTACGTCCGGGTGATGGGCTTATCTGTAAATGGTAAGTCATTCCTTTATCCATGTTACAGTTATCTGATTATTCATTGCATTCTAATGTTTTGACCGTAACACTGGAATAGCAGAACTATTAGAAAAGGTTATAGTCGAGACTAGTTGAAAACGTTTTTTAATAAGCACATCATTGCCACGTGATGGTATAGGTACTCCACATCCGTCTGCCGTGGTCACCTTCGCGTTCTAGTTGAAACACCAGACTAGATTTCGGAATAGATCTGGACTCCATGTGCATTCTATCACGACGTTTATTAGACAGATTGACTACCCTTGCGAATGCGGCTAAATAAATCCAACTGAATTAGGCAGTAACTATTCAATAAATCGAGATACCAATGCTCTTTCAGCTGGCGAATTCATAAATTACTTTTACGTTTTTTGCACTCACGTTATTTTAAGATATTCCATTACAAATCTAGATTTGGTTGGATTGGCGATGCAGACAGAGTAAAATGTTGTTCCGGGTTCAAGTTGCACTTAATGTGCATGTTAAATTATGTTTTATTAACGCACTTACAACACAGAAGAAATCATAGTAGGTATGTAACATAGATCCTCAAGAAGGGTTAGTAAAGAAAATTATTCATGGAGGCTATTTCGTTCAGTCGCGAGTGGAAGAGTATACGTTCGCATACCGCAATACAAATTAAGACAAAAACAATTGACAAATTACTGACGTCACGCAAAAAACGACTATCATAAGGGGGAGACGTTTTGCCGATTGTTTGGTGGTACACTCTCAATTTACATTTGTAATCGGAAATCATAACTACTGCAATATATGAAGTAAACTGTGGTAATCGCTGCTTTAGTGGAATTATTTACTCGACATATAAATCTTTTTGGCTAAGAGAAGACAACACAAGTAAAAGAAGAATAGCGATAAACTTGGCAGCGAGGTGATGCGCGCACGCCCTGCTAGATACAAAACCTACCTATAAAGTCTATAGTTCTATACACTACACCGCGTTCCAAATAAAAACGTGCAGATGTAAACATCACAGTCGGATACGAATTGCCGAAATAAGTTTATACTTCACATCGGTATTTGTGAATGTTTTTCTCGTTTAATTTACGTTTCCACGTTTCACGTAAAACGAATACACCCAACATTTCTATTCAAAACGAATATTATTTTTAAAAAGTAAAATAAATAAAAGCGAGACGTAAAAAAACAAGCCGAGTAAATGATTCATTATTTTAAATGAGGTTTCGAAACAAATTGTCAAGATTAAAGTTAAAATTAATGCTCAACAGTGCCATTAATTTCTTTTAAACATTGTTGCTTGATTCAGTATTTTGATGTAGCATAAAGACTCGCTTTCAACGTACACAATTGATTTATTAATACCTATACGATTTTAGGTGAAGTGGTAGGTGGCGCTTATCCAATTTACAATGACACAGATTAAGATTTGCAAGAATAGCCACGTGGGTGGAAATGTTACGGCATTTACGGCCGCGATAATCTACTTTTAAATGGAACATCCACTAGAACTAACTTGTTTAAGGTTTCATTTCATTCAAGACATTGAAGTACAGTGTAAACTAAAAACTTTTCTCTAGTTATTAGACATAATGGACACTTTATTAAGCGACTTTGTGAAACTCGAGTCGAGCGCTCTGTGCGGGATTCCTGTAATGAGACCATTTCTCGTTCGCAGCGAACAAATTCCGGTAATTTTCCGAGATTAATTCTTAATGTTTCACAAAGCTAGGAATTAAATTAAACGAGCTTATTAAGTTACTGTAATGGCAGTAGTCGGACTGTTCTTTTCAATGTATTTCTAAAGGCAGGGTGGCGCACGCTGCGTCCTTAGCGACGCGAAGCGAAGTGACGTAGTACCCAGAAAACGAGAAATAACATTATCCTCAATGTACGCAGTTCACACGTATTTATGCAAATGGAAGAAAATTATTAAATACAGCGCTGCGCCCATTGAGATTTCTTTCAGCTAATGAACCATAACTAATTATGGCCGGCTTTACGATTTCCTTTGTGGTTTATTAACGCCAGTTGATTTTATAGCAATGGACTTTATCGGTGACAAATCGAGCATAGTTTACCGCATTTTTACGGTCCATTTTGTTCGAAATAACGTAATTCCTGTTAATGGATACACGGGGGCCAAGGATTTTGCTTCTAACTCATAAAATTCAACATTAAATTAATATTAAAATTTTTGTTACTTTCTAACTTTAAGAAGTAATTGTATGACGTAAGTTAATAAAGCGAGTGTCAAGCAGACGACAGCAGACTCACATTTTTTCATTAGTTCACGACAGGCGGCGCACCGAATTAAGTCTAAGTGACTAACAGCCTTTATGAATCTTTCTCCTGGCCATTTCCCAACTAGGTTGGGGTCAGCGCGATATTTTAACCAAATACAACGATTTAATTTACCTTTTTACAAACACAAGATACTGACATTTAACCGCCCATATCGGTTGATAGATTTTATACTTAACCAGTGCTTCACATATTATGCAGAAAATGTTGCGGATATTAGTACCTACTCTTTTACTAAAACATAGCCACGAAGAAATCCTCAATCATTTCCGTATCTTCGTACATAATACGACTAACACTACATACGACATAAGCTCCATTTGTCCTCTTCACACATCTTGTACAATGTA